GGGGGGGGGGGGGTAACAATACTCTTAGTCGCTTAATGCTGCAGATTCATATTGCTCTTCCGACCTCGGATCTTATACTGCAGCATAGAGAGTTCATGGATCAGAACAGCCATATAACACGAGTAGCATAAGGCGACTTAAACACGACATGAAGTACCTTGCCATAACACTTTAGCTCCGCCGAAGACAGTTTTGTCGCTATCGGGAAAATATGTACCCACCACCACTGGCTCGCCATCTGTTTTTTTAAAAGAGAAAAACATCAAAATGTAAACAAGAATACCAGTCCATTACCGAGAATTCGAAAATGGTCCATTCTGCTGAAGAAAAACCATTGAGCTTATTCGTAGGACCAACGAAATTTTTAATCCACAAATGACGATATTATCTATCTAGTGAGCTTTCTTAACTTACTTTGCATTTGTTTTATACAAGCTGGTCTTGTTCTTTCGCCCGTGTCTGAAAATTTTATTGTCCCCTGTAAAAGATAATAACATTTTGTATTGAAATCAGATTATCGAGTAATGAAGAAGCGTTTTTAACAATCAAAGTAACAGAAATTAAATTTTAATTTAAAATCAATACAATACTCTTTGCGTATATTTTTTTGCTGGAAACCTGACTATCGCGCACACGCGGTCAGGCAAAGTTCCCAAAAAATTTTATTGTTATTTACCGTTATTCCTCGGAAATTCACTTTTTCCAGTGTCTTTTTAAAAATTTGTACCATGCGGCTGTCTTTGTAAGTGAAATCCACTAAAGATTTGTTCAACGTGGTCTTGAGTTGATGCATGGAGTTGTTTAGTGTCAGGGCAATTGTCCACACTGAGTCAAACACAAATGGCACGTAAAGATCCGAGTTGTTCGTGACGTAAGTCTGTAGGAATTCTTCAGACGTCTAAAATAGACAAAGAACATCTTATAAATCATAAAATGTTTCCTCACGGGTGATTGACCTAATTACAACACGTAATGAAGCCAAAATTCTCCATGTTTTGAACAATTTCGCCTGGGTGGAGAGAAGCACTACGAAGGGAGAGAAGATCAAAACGAGATACCAGAGGCAAAGCCAAGCTCAAATTCTTGACACTTAGATGTAAAACCAAGGCATCGACAAGGCTAATGAGAATAAAATTTAATTGCGAATAAAAACTACCACATTCCCCGCTTTAGAAACTAAATCCGGGGCAAGTCTCATCTCGCACTCACTTGTGGTACCGTTAGTGGGGAAAATATAGCTTGTTTTGTCCTCAGTAACGGTCCTACAAGCCACTGCCAGATGGGACTTGCCCCAGGCTTCTCAGCGCCTCGTTTCTAAACTTTCTAACTTAAGGTGGAAATCTCTTAACAACTCTTTCGATTCATGGTTGCTAATAAAGGTGTCTGCTGTCACTGTAGACTTACCATTCCAGATACTGTTGGCTGGTTATTTGAAACAATTCTGGCGCTTTCAATAGAGAAGTATCCCTCCACGGCCTTTTTCATCTGTTCTTCTGTACAATCTACTTCATTATCTTTCACCAACCACCATTTCCTGTTGTCATACCAGTCAAGCACCAGCCACATGTAATGCTCACCGAACATTCCTTGCTTGTAAGCCTACAAGCAAGAGAGTCATGCTAAGCGAGGTCACATGATCAACACATGCACTTAACTGGTTATACTAGCCTCGAAGGGCCCGCTCTATATATCTAGTTAATCAGGAAGTCCAAGTATGAAGTAGAACAAGTAGAGCAAGTATGGAAGCGTCCGGTACTTGCCAAGTGGAAAGAACAGACAACATATTGGCAACTAATTACCTCACAAAACACTTTCCGAGCGTGATCTTCGTGAAGCATAGCCACTATAATACGGGCATCTTTTTCCTGTTGAAAGTAAAATAAGCTTAGCATGAAAACGTTAAACACAACATGGAGCCAAGGAATCTCAACATGACACCATTTTAACATCTTAAAGAAATTGCAGGAGTAAACTTGACTGCCTGATATATGAGATGTTACATATCAGAGACTAGTTACACCAGCACTCAATACTCAGTCAGACCAAATCAGAACAAAATTCGGTTTGTTTAATTAACGTAGTTTTCTAATAGTCACTTTTTCTTGTTTTCTTGTCACTTGACGTATTTTTCCACCTTGTTCCCATAATTGTAAAACTGTTTATCACGCAAAAACTGACGTACACATTTACTTGACCCTGACATCCCAACGATGCCGAAACGTCGACGGCCAATGATGTCGTTCAACGATGTCGAAACCTTCGCTAATTTCTGTGTTGAAAAACGTTTCACAATATCGAGAAAATTTCTTGTGCTGGCAGAAATAAAACGTGTTGTCTGAAAACCTACCTTTAGATTTTCAAGCTGCAACCTAGGATCACCACTGAACAACTCCGAAGCTATGAGCTCGAAGTCGTTGTTTATTAGTTTTTCTTGGAATGTGCCCATCACCTGAGAGAAATCAGAATTATAAGCTGGCTAGATAAATGAATTCATCAACATGGACAAGCCGAGAGCGGATGAACAGGAGAAAGAATAAATGTCTTCAAGAGTACACTGCGTTTAGGTTCATAAATTCATCACCAGTTCACCGCGAGCAAAGCCAATCATGAATTATCACAACAACTTCTGATTAAAATACTAAAAAGTTGAGTCTATTCCTTTGTGATACGAGGGGCGTGCAAAGTCAAAGACAAAAAAAGAAAAGAATTAAAAAGCGAGTTATATTGGAATGTTACCTCATCAAAAACGTAATCGTTTTGCCGTATGGTGGCAATCCTGTTCCATTTAAAGTATTTCAGGAAAGCCATCTTCGCGTTGTTATGTGCCGAGTCTGGTGGTACGATGTTAAACAACAAAGGATACTTCTGCTTATTGGACAGATCAGAGGCAGTGGAGGCGTATGACACCTGTCAATCAAGATTAAAAAGAAAATACTTTGATTAGCTATGGAGTTAAGGGGGCACTGTCATATGTTTCTTAGTAGGGTTTGAAAAGTTAATGGTCTGATTTTGTGAAACAGAACTCGACAAACTACAGGTCGGCTGGACTCCTCTGAAAGTTTACAATCGTCTTGCAGCAAAATTTAGTTCCTTTAAGGCACTGAATTCTGTTATTTTGCTATAGTTTATATAACTACTATTTTAGACCTAAGGGAAAAATTTGCCATTCATTATATTTAATGAACGGTCAAACGCTAATAAACATTACTTATATACCTGCAACAGGTTCCACAGCCTTCCAATCTGCGCTGTTGCTCGGGTTACCGATGAACACGCAGCTCCTAGCAGCATTATCATTGGGGGTCTGGTGTAGAGGGACTCAAACAGAGCATTCGTCCCATGCCCTGGATCACACTATTTAAAGAAAAGAAAGTAAAGAAAGTAAATTACTGTTATGATAATAGGAAGTAATAATAGATTGCACTTTAGTTCGTCGTGACTGCATTTCTTTGCAATACTTTGCAAGTGGCCTAGCTAAATTCATTCAAATGACATGACTCTAGCTGAGATATAATAGGGGCCTCTCTTTCCGATTTCTTGCATTCTTAAGACTTACAAATCTCCTTCGATCCACTTCTAAGTTTCAAATCCCGGCACGGCAATTTAATTTCGTGCATGTTTTTCTTTGGCGAAAGCGAGCTGTCAAGACGTTTGCAGTTGATTAAAAGATGGAAAGATGGCAATAATTACATATATCAAACACTGAATAGAGAAAGAGCAAGACAAATCAGTCTTCCACCACAGCATAAAATCACATTACATAAAATCACATTACCAGCCAAGGAAACGATATTAGAACACTTAAGTCTAACTCTCCTATGTCTCCTGCTGTTCACATACAGGCTTTGAATTCTCAGCTTCGCATCCGCTATATTTTGATAGCTAGACAATGCATCTCCAAACCAAGTTCTGTATGCTAAGGAGTTGTTTTCTCTGACAATAGACCGTGAAGCACAATGTCACAATGTATTATAATGTCACCCTCCATTTTCTAATGACACAAAGGGAAATATTTAAACCGAACTGTTTGGTAGCTCTGACTGAGGCAATCGCTTTCGAAAGTTAAACCAGGGAAGCCGATGGAGAAACTTACTGAAACGAAATAAGGGCAATCAACATACTTTCAACACTCTAAAAAAATTGTTTTAAAGAAACAGCGTTGGAAAAAAAATTGAAATTTAAAATCTAGCGATAGGAAGCCTTGTCTCCTGCCAGGCAGCGCAGGACAGTCTTGTGTCTCAATTAAAACGAATACAAAGCTTAATTTCATTGTTAAGAAGTTGTTCAAAAAAGCAGTTAATATATAAACATTGGTTTCATTTGAGCGGTTCCCTAACACCTGTGTATTGTAAAACCCGAAGCAAAGTAGCAAATACAGCAAAGAACACAAAGAATGAATCATAACACCGAGCAAAACAACTTGCAGTTCGTGAAACGCGCGGGAAAACATGCAACCGATGCACAGGCGCGGAAAACACGCGTAGAGGTTTGAAGAGTGCAGCACGAGCGACCGCGCGTACGCCCGCAAAAGCGAACGCAAACGCGACCAAAACCCAACCAAACACATGATTCCTAATAAAGTAGTCCAATGAAAACCGTTCTACCGGTCCCAAAAGATTTGATAAGGTAAATCAAAACATTGTAAGTTTTTATTGACAAGGAATTTTAAAACATGCTGAATCATTCAATCTGAACGTCGCGTGATTTTGCTTATAACAATGAGAAGAAAAGATTGCATTCCTTCGCTAATGGCTATTAATCGCTCCGTAAAATGGTTTTTAGAAAAGTCAAGCAGCCGACTTGCCGAGGGTAATTAATTTGTCGCAATTGCCTTGCGTTTGACTAAAACGCAAAAACCGCCCTCCTCCTGTTTATTGCAAACCGAGAATAATAAAATAGTAGAGCTTTTTCTTACTAACAAAGCGAAGCAAGATTTCGTGTGGCCATGCAGTTTGGTTTTGAAACAATCACAATTGATTATCGTGCTAATCTTAAAGCTAATGCCCGAGGCAACAATTAACTTGATACGAGAATAGCTCGTTCTTGTTGAAATACTAACTGTGCGAAAGAGTTTTGAGTGAATACAACTGATTATAGCATAACTTTCCTGAATGAATTTTGCTTACTAATTACGTTACAACTGCTTATAAATGCTTCATCGGAGAATACAGGAAACAGAGAAATTTGATAAACTCGTAGTTAATGCTCGTTTTACATGAAGACTGTCAAATATTTATAATAAGACAATGTGCTGGTGTGGGCAAGAAATAAAACCACGAACAGAAGACAAAAGATCCGACAGTATAATTATTAACTCAATAAAGTGGTAAAATTTTCACCTCATGTTGAATTCAGTACAAAGGGAAACGTTTCCACTCTCATTTTGCCATATATCTTTGCAATTGTGATGAAATGTACTTTTTTTAGAAAAAACGAAATCATTTATCCAGAGTTATTTCGACGACATGATGTCATTATTTCACTTTTGATATTTAGTAATTAAAAACGTTGGTTTTAAATCGCTGATTTTCAAGCTTGGTTAATAGAAAGACATACTAACGGAAGTATTTAATGACTAACTATGTGTCCAATAAGAAAATGAATTACATCCCAGTCATTTTGTCGAGGAAATGACAAGATCAAGAGTTCCTAGCTGTCATCTGCGGTTTTAAAAGTGTGCACTTTAAACTGTAAACCACTTTACGTAAATCATGTAAAAGCTGTGATGTAAATCGCTTCTAAAGAATTCAAAGAATTCCACTGGGGGCAAAGAACAATTCACTTTAAACAAGCAGCACTTTGAGCTTACAATCGAATATCAGTTGTTTAATAGCAGTGATTAACCTTTTGGAGAGAATCAAACAAGGTTTTTTTCAAGTAGTGTAACTGGTTTGACGTCAATGATTATAGAAATTTTCGCATGATAAAATTTTCCCCATGGTTGATCAGTTGAAACTTTTGTAGATGGCGCGTGCTTGGTGGTCCCTACCGGCAAATTTAAACGCGAATTGTAATGCAGAAAGACTAAGAGGAAAAGCAAACAAAGAAAAAGTGACATCCGAAAAGCTCCTACCGCAACCAAATGACGGTCACGTCTTGTTTACCGAGTTCGAGGTTAAGAGCGCATTACGTAGCAAAGAATTCAGTAATTGGAATGTTATAAAAAAAGACTCTTCTTGTCTAATAAACATATTAAATATGTTCTGGTTAACTGAAGGTTGACTTTAGACTGTTCTGGTGTCATCAGCGTTAGAAATTACTGGATCATAGTTTAACTTCGACGTTTTGAAATGTATTAAGAGGATTTAACCGCAAAGATACGGTTTTTTAAGTGACAACAAGGAAAAAATCGCGTTTACAAATTTTGTTCCGAGGCACGATTCCCATTGATCTCGCATTTGCTATTTTCCTTTTGTTTCTAATGTAACCACATCATTTTGGCAAGCTTAATTCTTTTTTGAATGGAATAATGCTTGTTTATTTTCATGTAGAGATTCAAAGGTATTTGTACTAAACAGCGCATAATCACCGTGGAAATTAAACGTTTAGAACTTTAAACATCAATTTCCATACCCTACTTTTTGCACAGAAGTTTTTAGAAGGACATTAAAGCCAAAAGAAACAACATCACTTGGAAATATTTAGTTTCTACTCGCACAGGCTGTCAGCGTTGCAATGCAAAATGTCAGAAAGGTCAAAGTATACTTTTCATTGTACTCGAGGAACAATGAATCAGTTGGAGACCGCGAGTTTCAATACCGAAAAAAATTGGATGTCAACTGAAGTTGCAAAGGAACGCAGTTACAGCCAGAAAATCACAAAATTGAAGTTGCGTCTAGGGAAGTTGCAGTTTGATTAGGTAAACAAAAATTTAGTTAAATACCTGCGTGTCATTCCAGATCAGTTGAAGTCGGTAACCGGGTAGCACATCACTTCGTCTGTTCACCATCTCAATCGCACGTTCACTGGCAGAAAGGAGTGACTTTCCCGCCGAGAACGCCGAGGACCCACTCATTGGAAACAGCCCTCCTACATACAGTGTACTAACTGCGGTTTTCGGCGGCAAATTGGCAGTGAAATACACAAATAAAATGCAAAGGGCGCTAACAGATGGCCAAAAGTGTATCATTTTGTGCTCTTGTTGAGATTATGTGCTGTCGACAGCGCTTATTAAAGGAGTCTTTTCAGTCGAATTTGAGCGCGTCTCAGAGAGTTGCGCTCACTGCGCGTGGGTTATTGAGAAAAACTTATCCCTCGTAAGATGGCTACAAAAACATGTATGACTTCTTGAGCACTAAAAGCTCTGTGTTTACGTAAGAAATGCATGAGTAATCACTTGCTGAAGTGACTCTCAAAATAGTTTGTATGTTGTCTTTGGCTTGAGGTCACGGTGTGATTTACATACGTCCAACCAATCACCTTAACCTAAGTGTAATAATTCAACAAACCAAGAGCGATAAAGGAACATTTTTTACATGAAAGACCATCATTAAGTCTGATAATTTGAGATAAATTGGAGTCAAATATTTTTCGTCTTATCGAATGTAGCAGTCTGAGAAATGATAAAGTACTGTATGAGCATTAAAAAGCACGATCTGTGTTCACGAAGTTCAGTGTAGCCACGCTGAATATTTAAATAATGAACGAACGGTCGACTAGTTTTTGATTGTTTGCCTTTTTCTGTGCGTTTAATTTCCTTCTAGTTTATTGAATCTGACTCAATAAATCAGGATTTGATACAAAGTTCTGAGACGTTAAGGGCAAGCTATGGCACAAGGAACTTTGCTGGCAAGAGAAACCTCATTGAGGATCGGTTTTTAAAATGGATAAGATCTCTGGAGCCAAAAAAGATTATTTCGTCTTTCAAAGTCGAAAACGTGCTTAATCTAATCAAAACATTGTTATCTGTTTGCATTCCCGCATTTTGTTCTGTTTGTGAAATCTGATAATTCTCTAATACTACGCAAATGCGACTGGTAAAATCTCTAGACAAGACCATCTGGTTCGAAAACAAACGCTTTCCAAATGACTAGGTGAAAGGCAAACTTGATCACAGAGTATAACATTTTTCATCGCTTTCAATTTTTGTAAGTGCGACTCCAAATGTAAACAATGATGTTAAAGTCATTGGTTGTTCGTGTTTACCTTCTACTACGATACTGCTAGGATTTCTAGCTACAAGAGAAAAGAATTTTGATTTCGAATCTTCGTGGAGGTCTTTTAAACAAACTGCTCGACAAAGGTAGGGCCATCGTCGCAATTTAGAGCTGTTACTGTTTATGTTGACTGCTTTGCACGCAGACAATGCCTTCGGAAAACCATGGCAGTACTCCGTTTCCACACTCCAACTGGTTGAGAGGCGAGGTTTCCCCGTAATTTTCTCCCGGGATAGTACTTTATATAGCAGTAATAGGGCATACCTCCAACTAACATGTGATGGCAAAGGAAAATGTTTCACCACTGGAAGCAAAATCTGATTTACATCTTGTATACTTTTATCGTTGTCCTGTTGTTTTTTCGAAACCTTACAAGTTAAGTGATATTAAAGAACGCTACAGAGTTCAAATATAAGTTATATCTTACGACCTACCCTCAGACATAAGTTGTTTCAGCATGTTATCTTTTCATTACATACCATCACAATTCTTGTGTTTCCGCCAAACTCCTACAAAGCTAAGAAATATTTCCATAAACTCTCCAAGTGGAAAACATTTATCTACATTTACATGTGTTAGATATTCCTATTTCATTCACCGTTTCAGTTTTTCAGACTCAGTTGATAATCTAACTCGGAAGCAATTTCTTAAAAGCTTATTTAATACTCGTAGAATCAACGTTACGTTTGCTTCAATTTTATGGCCGTCATACTATTAGTTTCACAAGGAGGGACATCAGCATGTGGGCTGTAGACTAACTACTGTAATTTTCTCAAATTTTGAAATATCGCGTCTTGAAAAACGCTTTCCAGGGGTAATTTACACAGAATGTTGATTATTTCCTGATCTACAGCCTGATAATAAATTAACCTGATAATAAACCTAGTTTTTCGATGTTTTTATGCCAAAAAAGAAATAGTCTTTGTAAAATAGACGAAAACCACCAATAGCATTACTGTATGCAATCCATGCAGAAAATATTCCGTAACGTTAACAGAAAGTGAAAAGTAGTAAAAACCTTAAATAATTATCATAATATATCATTATATCAAGGCAATAATTATTATAATACAAATTATATGTCGAAGCGATAATTATTACAATACAAATTCTGTCAAGGCGATAACCGTCAATCACACAAACGAGGTGGCAATTTCCAAATCGTTCGTTGATTTAGTCTTTTTGGGTGCCAAACCACTGTTTGTATTCTTCAATGACTCGAGAACCTTGCCTAGTAAACCCTCCACCAGTGCAAGTCTCTTTTCCATCTTTTCCAAGTGCACATCTGTCGAAAATGAAGCATTTTTCTGGTCACTAGGCAAGTTTTCATTCGTATTTCTTCGCCTGCGGGGAGCTGTCACTAACAAACTGTCTTCTTCAGTGATTGTTTGGAGCATGTCGATATAAGCTCGTTGATCTTCTTGCCTAACCACATGATCTTCCTGTGGTAAGGAAAACAGAAAACACATGGTGTGCAGTTTGCTTTAACGTGACACTCATGCTTTTATAGGAGTACGCGCCCACTGATTAGTTGGATATCAACACATTGTCAAATACTTGAAGGTGTACAAGAAGCGTATTAAAGTTGAGAACATCCGAAAAATGGGAGCAGCCAATGAGGAATCGAAAATATTTTTTTGTTACTTTAAAAACAAAAACAAAAATACTGGTGGGTCGGGTGATAGCCGAGAACGAACATTTTACAGAGATAGCCTTACGAATTATAAGAAAACTCGAAAATTTTGAATCAAATTGAATTAAATTTCAAGAAGCGATGTTTAGGAGCAGTTTTCAATTGAGTGTCGTAAAACCAAAACCAAGGTAATCGCTATAGCCAATCACAGGGCACAGACAATACAGTGAGCCAATCAAAACTGGAAGTCATTACATGTAGCTGACGCAAAGCGTGGGAAAACGCATGCGTGTGAGTCACGATTGGTTTTGGTTTCACTTCTGATTGGATGAAAAAGTGGCGCGAGTTTTTAAACCAAACGCAAAGCGTAGAAAGTGCAAAACAATTACTTTTCGACACTCAAATGAAAACCGCTCTATCATCATGTTATTCCAAACCATGATGAGACTGCAAGTCGTCTTTTTTATTCTCAGATCACTTACCATATCATTAGAGTCTAGTTCAAACGCGAGCACCATTTGTTCCATGATACGCGTCCTGATCTCAGGGTACACCCTCATGACTCGCAAAAGATCCTGCCAAGCAATGATGTGGACCTGGGAACTAACCTTAGAGAGCAGGCTTGCTCGTGATTTATAGTGGTTATCAGGCCTGCTACGACGTGACGTCATGTTGCAACCAACGATATCTCCTGGACCTGAATACATGGACAAGATACTATCAAAGGCCATTAATTTCGCGACGTGACATTTCTATTTTATATATATATATTTTTTTTTTTTTTTTTTTCCGCTAGTTCTTCTTCTGTTTCAAAAGCTAACGAGCAGTGCCGTGCAGAAAGCACTTTTGCTTACTTACTTACTTTGCTTACTTACTTCAGGGTGTAAAGAAGCAAAATTACTTTAACCCAAAAGTTTCCGGTCAAAAGAGAGGGAATGTATAGCGAGTTCACTGTTCCAGGCTCCCAGTCGATGGAAACGATGGAAAAATTGGGTGGGTGAAAGAAAAACGAATGGGGGCTGGGGTAGAAAATAAGTAGGCCTTTCCATTTAAAATATTATCAATTTCTTCAGTTTTTCAAGTGTCTTATAGTGCTCAACCCACTGGGTCAGTTATCCTATTTATCAGTAGAAATATTATTAAAGGAAAAAAAAAACATTTTTTAGAAGTGAGAATGGCTATAACGATGGCAATAGGAACAGGACTTCAGTATGAACTACAAGCTTCCCCCTCCTCCATCCCATTAACCATCCCAGTCCAAAATCAATACAGGGCAGCTCGAGGTTGGCTCCATCGATTCCTTAAATGTTTCTGTGCTTAACTTTCATGATGAAATGAGAAGCAGAATGGTTAACGTTGCTTTCCTGAATACAGTCTACTGGCCTTAATGCAACAGAATTTGTACGCATTAGTAACCTGACCTTACCCAGATACACCATACTCTGATCTCCCTTGGTGACATCCACAGTTCCTGTCACTATGAAGTAAAGCTTGGTAACCTGGTCTCCTTCTTTCAGCAGAAAGTGCTTGTGAGGAAACAGCTCGATATGGAAAGCGGTTGCAAGAGCACGGAGACTGCCCTGGCTCGCGCCTTGGAAAATTTCAAACTGTTCAAACAGGCTGTGATTCAGATGAACCCTGATGTCCGCTTGGAGAGATTCTGGAAAGCGGTACATGATCTGAGGGTGAAAGAATAATAAATGTACTCTTCATTGATTAGTTTTGAGACCTTTAAATTGAAGAAGTTAGGCTGCTTTCTATGATTGTTGAATAAACAACATATTCTTTTACCATTTACGTTCTCTTACATAATCAGGAGCTCCATATCTCTACAAAACAAAACAGCAAAAATACCAGCTTCCTTTCTCTGACTACCTACAGGAGGTTTTTGCCTGGTCCTAGAGTATCCAGGAAACGTGTCATATTTGAACCATACAAAATTAACTAGTTTATCACATGACATCCTGTAGCTCAATTTTAGAATATCCGACCGCTGTCCTTAAGGGCACGGGCTCGACTCCCATCCGGGACTTGTCTCCTTTGTCCCACACTCGTGACGAGTGACTCTACAAACCAACAACGGCAACAAAGTGTGCGGACCTGAACAAGACTTTTGGAGTAGAAGGGAGTTTTTGGTGCTATTGTCCCATCCTCCTTCTATACAGCCTCATCGAAAGGCGGAAATCCTGAAATGGGGTTCGACAAAACTGGAATTTAAACTTTTGTTGTTGTACTCAGTCCCCGGGCCAACAGCTCCCGTGTGACGTACACATTTTCTTACCGATTCAATGTCGTCCCCTTTGGCTGCGGTCTTTTCCTGGGCGAAGTATTCTCGTAGGGTCCCCTGAAGACATTCTGGTATGTTATGCAGTGCAATAAATTCCTTAACTACTCGCAAGTCTCGGTGATATCGGGCTGTGCGGGAATACAGGCGTTGTATGATCGCCGTCAGGTTTCCAAATATGGCCGCGTAAAACAATGCTGAGGGAGAAAAAGGTGTAGCGATTACTTAGGTGTTGAGGTTCTAGGGAGCCGGCCTAGGCCATGAGAAGCGCTCTTAATTTCACTCAGAGCGCCTAGCGAGAAACGAACGAGAAAACTGGCTAAACGAAAATGTGGTGTGGTCCAGGGGTTGTGGCACCTTGCTCAATAATCCCGAAGAACTTAGGGGCTGTTAGAATTTTTGGCACCTCAAGTTCTTCTGATACTCCTTTCAATGTAAATAGAATTCTTTTGAGTTAAATTGTTTAAACTATTTCAAAGTGCAGTCTAAGAACTCAGGGTACGCTACGTACTTCGTTACGCAGAGTTAAAAAATATCTGGAGAACAAGGTATTCATGCAATTAGTCCGACATATTCACAGAAGTTGCTCACCGCTTAGTTGCCAGAGACCACCACAACTAAAAGGGACATTATCGCGGTAAATTTTTTGTATTTTTCGTTAAAACGGTTCGTTCTTAAAATCATAGAATAGAACACCAATATGAGGATATTAAGTATATTGTTGAAGGGAGAGTAAATTGGAAATAGGTTTTAGCGATTCTTACTACAAATTAACGACAACAAAAAATACCTGCCAGATTTTTTTAATAGGAAATCACAACTTCGTCGATGTACAATCCCATTATAACAGCCTTTTCGTGTTTTCAGTGCACTAGTATAGTGATTTTTAACAAGACCAGACCTGATTGCTTTTAGGTTTCCATCAGTGAAAATAAGTCTTAAAAGAAGCTTGGTCACGGCCGCGCATGCGCGTCCGATCACGGAACAGTTTGAAAGTTTTAGCCTCAAACTTTCAATATCGTCGAGGAGGACGCTTTTGTAACGTTATCCGAAAATATCTTTGCCATCCTTGAGTGGTTTATTTTTTTGATAGTTGTAATAGCTCAATTGATTGTTGTGGAGTATTTAGATGTAGATTTTGGTTCGCGTTTGAGGTTTAGAGAGTGTTTTTCGTGGATGTTTTGATGTCTTCATGAGATGGTCGGCGAACTGGAAGTGGCCGCAGGAAGATTCACGCTTCACTTTCTGAGGGCGTAAACACTAAAACGAGAAAAAAGCCTCAAAACGTGGACAATGAATGGCTATATGCGAGCAAAATTCTCGCACCTCGCAAAATTCAATATAGCGACTACTTGGGAATCGTAATGAAGTTGTGCCAAATGTTGCACATGCGCAGGTCATGACGCAGCTCCTTTAAAGTTTAGACTCTTTGACGTCTGGCTCATGATAGAGACCCATTTATTTTCGTACGAGAAACATGCAGCACGCTGATGCAATAAATAACTGTATGTGAGGAGTGTTCGTTATCGTTACCGGCATTTCTTAGTTCGCTTTAGAACTGAAAAATCCAAGATTTGTCCACCGGGCAGGATTTATCAAATAAGTGAACTCGATTACCTAAAACCAGGC